TTACACCCTTTCACATACCGCCCCCAGCCGAATTCCTTCGTCTGGTATCGCACTTCAAGGCAAGCCGGACACGTTTGGCAAACGACAGCGTTAGAACCACCCAGCCACCCGGCTGCAACCCCTTCTATGGCCAATCGGAAGAAATACCCGCGAAGGGAACTTTTCAGTGGGGCGGTCGGTTTGCGGATTTGAAGCCATCGTGTAAGACTAATCGTTGTATTACTTGAACTAATAATACTTAGCATAAACAACTCAAACTATTTTTTGTTATAGCGATAAATCATGTTGCATCTTTAAAAAATTTGCAGATTGTAGGATTTTTGGATAACTATAGTTTCTTCTGTAAAGGCACTAAATACAGAGTTAATCTAGCAACCAGTGACATTGCTCTGGCAACAGAACTCCAGTCTAGTATAGCATTGCACCAGAAATTCTCATTAAGTAGCTATTAAGTCTGCCAGGACGTAAGCGTTATATCCGTTTTCGGATCACTTGGTTTATTGTCGAGCGAGTTCACGCTATCCATACTGCTTAAAACCGCAAAGTCTCACAGCAAAAGTAGATGTGTGGCTGGAAATCCAATAACCATTATTATTTTTAGAATCATTCAGTAGACATCACTAGGTAAAAAGCGGATAAAGCGGAGCTAGGCTATAGGCCCTCTGGGAGGGGGAGGGTGGAGGGGGCGTTATAACACTGAGGCCATGGGGGGGTTTGAAATATTCCCGTGTCATTACTTTAACCCTAGAGAAAACCTTCACATGAATCCTGCACTTAACTTTAGCCTCTGACTCACCCCAACACTGCCTTAACCCTAGCCTTAAGAGTAACACTCATCTTCGTGGAAGTTAGCGTAAAGTCATCGGACGGTTGGGTGGAGGGGGTTTCTATTTCTTCGTCCTCCCCAAATATAACTGCGCAAAGAAACTTAAAATATCAGGAATAAAGTCTACTTCTCCTCCTTGAACGTAAAACCGATGAAATCAGTTAACTGATTTCATTTTAACACAAATGAGATATCTTATTCCGCATTTATAATCTACTTGCCTTCTGAACACACTCATTTCAAAATACGCGCTCACATACATGGGCCAGTGACAAGCGAAGGTTTATTATTTTGAGAAGAAGACGATTCGATCGCTGGGACAACACTTTTATTCACCTGATGTTTCGAGATTCGTCGCAGATTCATCATCAGAGACATAAGCAGGGAACAGTAGCAGATATGGGTCGGACCTCGAAACATCAGGCGAATAAAAGTGTTGTCCCAGCGATCGAGTCGTCTTCGTCTCAATTGCTTCCTGGGACTCGCACGTTCGCTTGTACTGACGGTTCATTATTTTAGCAGTGCCAAAAGTGTATACTTATTACTGATGCTATCGCCACAGGTACGGTTACTACTACTACTGCTGTTTTGAATGCGGCGAATGTTACCGGTACTTCATCTGTCGCAGACGACAAGAACCATCCCTGTTCCAATACAGGCTCAGTGGCTAACTACACGTAAATCTATATATACCGTACGCATATCTCGGTTAATTTTCCAAAAAACAGGTTTCAATGACGAAACAAGGTCAGGCAAGTTGAGATTAGTGTGATTTTAGGGGCTAATAAACCCAACCTATCTGTCTACACGTGCCACACATGGTCGGATCGTTAAAACCACAGGAATCAGCCTTCAAAAATAAGATCTCTGATCTCACCTAATTGAAGGTGTTAAAACTGTCCCCAGAACAGAGCACGCACTGACGCCTGAGCTAAAGTATAACCTGAGCCTGGAGATTAACGCACAGCTGTATGCACATTCCCCTTCCTGGAATGAAGTATTACTGAACTGTAAGATCAATGACGAGATGACATTTCCAACCTTTATGCTCAGTCGGGCCTTTACCCTCGCAGTACGACCTTTGGTCCTAGGAAGGACTGTTTTGCTCCGACAGATTTCATGATTATGGGCACATCGTATTGGTTAAAAATGTTCCTCAGTGTCTGTGCTATGGGCCTGAGCGTTGGACCGGTGCAGGATCTACCTCAATCTAGCTTCTAGATCGCAGACGCCGGTGGGTTTTCGAGTCAGATTGACCAGACTGGATGCAGTGCTTGACGTGACGTAAAGCTGACAGAAAGCCACATCGAAAAGGAGTCATTAGAGTATATCGGTGCAGGGATTTTTTGAACGCTGATGTGATTCTCATTGAGTGGGTACAACAATATGTTCAATTCGTCTGACTTTTGCGCAATCGTATGGATCAATTATCATAATGATATCGCGCGTCACATTCACGGCTCATAAATCGCCCGGACTTTGACTTGTCTGGCTGACGTATTCTGTTCTGCAGGAGTAAGTGCGTGAAAAGGGCATAAGCAAACGTATTCGGAAACGGTCGTTCGATAATAACGACCGTAACGAAAGTGAATAAGCCCTATCAGCAGTCGAAAGGACGGACCACGCTTTCTATCGCAATCGGTCACATTCTAAGGCAGGCTTTTCATCGCGTCAAGTTAGGGAGGAAAATGCAGTTCCTCTTCCTTCTGCAGTACATCCATGACGCATCTGGCTGGCAGAAGGTGAGATTTGTTGCCCAGCGCGCCTCAGATACACACTAGTCTGGTGTCCTTACGATGCTGGCAAACTTCACAGTGCGTTTTATGAATGGGAGGCAAGAAATGGTGGATCAGAGCTCAGCGATCGGTCACGGAACTCACCTGTAACAGTCTGTCCCGGGGCTTACTCCCGAGCCTCGCCAGCATCCACACAGCGGCTAATAATATAGGCAGGCTAACATTTTCAACAAAGACAAAAGAGGCTTAAATGAACATGTCTAGCTTCGTAGCGATCATCAGACAGCCACACCCAGCCCTAGGTTGTGCGCCACCCGAGGTTCGGATACACAACTTGTTGACTAGAAGTCCAAAGCATTGACCATTGAGCCACGGGCTGGTCGTCTTGGCGGCTTCGATCAGGGATATTGACAGTTGTTGATTAACGCTCACCGATTACTAACAGAACTCACTCGTCCCGTTGTGTTTTGGGACTCACTGTCGTGGCCGGCTAGCAGCCACAGAACTGCTACTATAATAGGTAGGTTAACATTTTCAACAAAGACAAGGGAAACTGGGATAAAAATGTCTGGTTCATTAACCACCGTTAATTAATGCATAATAATACGTACTATCGTCACAGAGAGTGCAATTTATCCATGGAAAAGGACTGATGACTATACTCGTGTTAATCTCTTGGTAATGTCAGAGTCACCAGTGATTGATAGGGAAAGCTCCTTATTGCGACAGATTGAGAGGTCAGTTGTAGTTCCTAAAGCGTTTTACCTGCTAACACCTCACCGAAGAGCGAAAAACTTGCGTCAGATCTAGCGGCTAAGCCGGCAGGCAGATCGGTGTCCGATCAACACAGAATCGGGACATCAGAACTCTGTTGCCGTGCCGTCGGCTCTTTATTACCTCTAGCCCTCCCCCTCCCGCTCCCTCCCCCTCAGGGCTGTTAATTTGCGCAACATGCAGCCTCGACTGAGGCCAATGCATCCGGACTTGACGCGCGGTGACCACACTTGTTCGTCTGCCCCCCGGTTGACCCAACAAGCAGAACGGAATGCAAGGGGAGGACTAAATTACCGCTTGCGCTGAAGTTGCGTCATAGTTACCCACAGGCTCAAACATTCCGCATCCGCGTGCTGGGGCCGTGAGAGAAGGAGGCAATATCATGGTGCTGAGGTCGTCAATTGCACCCCGTTAAGGCCCTATTAACGCCTAAAGAGCCCTAAAAGCGCACACAGAACAGTTTTGCTCTCACAAACAACGAACTTCATTACTGCCCTGGATCAGGTGCAACACTGACTTTCGCGGTAATTCGTGTATAGTAAAGCAGACTCACTGGGTATCTGCCTTCGGGCGAACGCAGCATCCTTGTAATACGTGCCGAGTCGAACGTGCAACAAGCCTAAGGAGATTACGGGGGAGGCTGAGGACGGGGAGGCTGAACAGAGAGCCCCGAAATGATACGACAAATGGGCAAAACCACTGCTCAATGCAGAACGACAGTAGTGTGTGGCTTGATTGATACCAAAGAAGACTCGCGTTTTAA